GGATCATCAAGCCAGCCAGTGTTGTGAGCAGCTTCTCTCAACACACGGAGCAAACTGGGAGATGAATGTGAAAGACTGCCAGGAACAAACCCACGCCAGGAAGAGGCAGCTGAGAGATGTGCACACCAAATCCCATCCCTAGTTGCATGGGAGGCCCTCCCCCTCTTGGGGCAGGATGGTGGAGGGAACACTGCAAGCTTTGTGCCCAAGCATAAGGATCCTGGACAAAGTGTGCAGGGGTTGGCAAGGGGGTCAGACCCACGTGTAGCAAGGTGCCAGCTGTGAGCAGGATGCCGCCTGGGCTGGGGTCCTCTAAACAAGTTCCCACAATTCCGACTTTTTTCTTTTGTTTCTGTAGCCATCAACCAGGGAGTGGGCTGCTGTGCCTGGACTCTGTGCAATAATGTGCATTGGCCTTCTTCTAACTAACACTTTATATATACTGTTGTGTTTTAATTCTTACAGCAAGCCTATGAAATAAATACGCCTAATTAAAGTCAGGTAGTTTGTTCAATATTACAATGTGCTAGAGCTGGGAGTCGAGCTCCAGGCTGTGTGAGTTGCCAGGTCCCACCCACTGTGCCCTGCCTCCTTGATAGTCTCACCTCCTTGACGTTGCACATGGCTCAGAAAGCTCTGGTGCCACCTGAAGAAAACATGAGACTTCATAAAGTTTTTCCAAGGATTTTCTTTCAGATAGCAAAGACATCAGAATATCATTAAAGCATGGCAACACGACTGAAATTCTCAAGTGTAGGGTTTCTTGCTGACTTAGAGAATGTCAAGGTCATTGGAAGTTCTTATCATAAAGTTGTTTATATGGAACTATCCCAATGAGTGAAGGTTACATCATTGTCAATGAGCAAGTCATTCATTCACTAGGGCCAGAAAAAGTTCTTCAGAGATGTTTCATTTACTCAGTCACGATGCACTAAGGATGTCCTTTACGCCTATTTCTGTGTTGGAATGCGTGGAAAAGCAAATGGGGGCCTGTCCCTAAAACATTGACTCCCTCGGGACTGACATGATGGCATAGTAGGTTACAGAGAAGAAGAGACAGAGATGGAGGTCTCCCGTCCATGGTTCATTCCCCCAGATGCCTGCAACAGCTAGAATTGGGCTGGGAGGCCCTGCCATTGTGGCCATCTGAGGAATGAACCAGCAGATGGAATATCTCTCTCTCTCTCTGTGCATCTCTGCTTTTCTTTTCATAACTGGGCAGATAGGATGCCCTTCCTCCTCTCCCTCTTTCCCACTGACAAACGCTACTCTTAGTGCTATGCAATATTTTTCTAGTGGACCTTTCCCAGATGAAATAGTTAACCTGGTGTCTCAGGTTGGTATCCTACTCGGAGGAATTCAGGTTCACACTGGCTAGTGGGCACTGGTGATAACCACGGATAGCCAAAGCTCAGAGTAACTGTGGCCATTATTTAAAGAGCCCTAACAGACACTACCATTCATTTTGAGAGTTCTTCCTCTCTAATAGTTTCTTAGAGCTGTTGTAATAAGTTCCCACAAACTTGGTGACTTTAAAAAGGTGCATGAATTCTCTCACAGTTCTGGAGCCCAGAAATCCCAAACCAGGGTCCCAAACCAGGGTGTCCATCAGCCTCTCTGCCTCTAAAGGCTCCAGGGAGCCATCTGTCCCCTGCCTGGCCTCCAGCTCAAACGGATGTGACTGCATCAACCTGGCCTCTGCTTCCATGCCCTCACTGCTCTTCGGCTTGTCTCTGGGGGGGGGGGGGTCACTTGTGTGTGTGTGTCTTAGGAAGACACTTATCACTAGAGTGAAAGTCCAAATGAGTCACTTGGGATGATTTTAACTTGAAAACTTTGACTTTATTTCATCAGCAAATAAAGATTAACATCTGATTATTGGTCACATTCACAGATATCCAAGATTGGAACATGGGCATGTGCGGTTAGAGATTACCCCACAAATGATTCCACTTTGTTCCCTCCATGCACCGCAGCCCAGAGACTCCCGAGGCGGTGGTACTGAAAAAGCCTCAGCTGATCTTTTTTTTTTAATTTTATTTTTTTTAATAATATTACTTAGTTGATTAGGGTACAAAGAATCAAGGGCTACAGGAAAGTTGCTAATACCATTGCTTCCACACTAATATCATTTTCCCCCTGTATCTGGAGTCAGGGAGAAACAAAGGGAAAAGCCCCACCCAGCCTCCCACCCATCCCAGGTCCCCAGTGTGAGGCATGCTCCGAGGGTCCTGCTCATGCAGTTTTGATAGTTCAATAGGTCTGAATTGCTGCCAGTCTCGCCGTTCCAATTGTGATGAAACCTATTCAGGATCCACTGGCTGACGTAGTCTCTTCATGGTTGGGGTTCTGAGATCAGCAGTTCAGTTGGAGGGATCTCCAAAGAAACTTCATCTGAGATGATCCCAAACCTGATTCTTGTGTGAGTTTGCCAGTACAGGCACCGTCTGTTGCCCCAATCAACTTAGGCACAGCTGATCTTGTTTGTCCCTCTTGCTCTTCCCTGGGACCACTGTCCTATGTGGCTTGTATTTCCTGCCAATTGTTGTGTCTGGTTTTATAAGCTACTCAAATCTAGAGCATGAATTGAGTCCCTGTCGCTCCAGCATGGATGCAGCAGAACGTGCACCCCAAGAGTGGAAGCTCGTGGAATGATGGGACCATTTCTGTTTCATTTATGACTGTGTTGCAGGTGCCTGCAGCAGGGTTGGAGCTCAGTCCTCCTTCCACAGTCATTGATGAGTTCCTGCACAAACAAATGAACATAAGGCCCATGCAAAGCTCTCTTGCCTCTTGTCTGCATGGCAGCAGCTCCAGCAGGCACAACTAGCTGAATGGAACTGCAGTGGGTCCTCTTCAGCCAGTGTAATGGATTTCCTTTCTAATCCCTTCCCAGCCCCTCAATTTGCCTCTTATAGTTAATGCAAGAAACTGTTGCTGGGAAATGTTAGCGATTTAGTCATGGAGCACCTTTGGGTCATGATATATAAGATATATTTTCTGCCTGTAGGTTTAAAATGAAAATATACACAGGGCATTTTGCAGGGAAGGGATGATGTGATGGAGAGTGAATAGTAATGTTGTTGAGTGAGGAGAGGTACTGCGTAAACAGTGTTACTATCAACTGAATAGCAGGATTGTTGGGTGAGTAGCAGCATTAAGAGTAAACAGTTATGACCCAGTGCAGTAGCCTAATGGCTAAAGTCCTCGCCTTGCACATGCCGGGATCCCATGTGGGGACTAGTTCTAATCCTGGTGGCCTGCTTCCCATCCAGCTCCCTGCATGTGGCCTGGGAAAGCAGTCAAAGATGGCCCAAATCCTTGGGACCCTGCACCCATGTGGGAGACTCAGAGGAGGCTCCACGCTCCTGGCTTCAGATCGGTACAGCTCCAGCCATTGCAGCCACGTAGGGAATAAATCATCAAACAAAAGATCTTCCTCTCTGTCTCTCCTCTTCTCTGTATATCTGAGTTTCCAATCAAATTAAAATAAACATTTAAGAAAAGGAGTGAACAATCAAGCTAAGTGGTAGTACCACTGAGCAGTAGTATTGAGTAATAGTATTGTCAACTGAGTAGTCATATTGAATGAGTAGCAATATTGTCATTGCGCAACCATAACGTTACAGGGAAGTGAGGTTGCCAGTTTGTTGGTGGAAAAGTAAATGGTAGATGGTGAGAGAATATGAGGCAAGAGACAAGCCTGTCAAAGAATACCCATTATAGATCCGATGAGTCTGTATCATCGGATAGCGTCATCGCAAAAAAAAAAAAAAAACACACATTTCTTTTACTTCCATAGTCACGCACTGATTACATTGAAAATGAAAGCACACATTGACATTGTCAGTAGTGTTTGTGAGAGGATCTACTGTACAACTCTTTATCCATATTATGTCTCCTCTTTATATTATTTATAAATTATTAGATATTTATAAGAAGCCAAAAACCACAGAGACTAATAAAGAACAAGTTAGAAATCGCCTCCTCTAACTGCAGTCCCCTGAGATAACCAATGTTAGCAGCGTGTTATGTGTTTTCCAGAACCCATTTCGCCGTTCCTCCAAGCACCTGTGCATAAATCTATTTACACAGGCAGTGGGGGAGGGGTACCTGGCTTTAAGGAAAATGTGAGCAAACGAATGATGTAACTTACTCATCTCGCTCAACAACAGATCGGTGACATCTTTCCAGATAAAGACAGACAGGTTTAGTTAGCTCAGGTTTATGGATCCAGAACACGATTTTATTCTCCGATCATGTACAACTGGGTGATTGGATATTTTTCACACTTAGTGCTGCAGCAAACACCTTGGTGACTGCAGATTGTTTTCATTTTGTCCTTGAAACTTGAAATATAATCTTTCAAATGCCTCCCCGCTCCCACCCCATCCTCGCTGTCAGTAGGAGCTGAAGGGAGACTGCCGAAGTGGGTGATCCCTCGGCACAGCACGTGGCCAGCAACCTGCTGCTACAATATTTACATCCTGCTCCATTTGAGACAGCCCTCTCTGCTCACATGACCTGAAATGCAGTTCTCACTCCACCAAGAGCACAGCCGGGTGCCAGCTGCACTGGCAGGTCTGCACATGCTCCGTCCGGCCCTGTGAATCTTCACTCACCCATTGAGATTTCTGTTGGTTTAAAGCGACATTCCAGCTGCTGACGCTCCGGTGGCCTGCAGTGTTTTCCTGGCCCAGAGCCAAGGCGGGTGGCTCCCCCTGAATGCTGCTTTGTAGGGTTTGAGCCGTTCTGTTGATTTCTTTGGGAATGTCAGTCATCTCTTACTTGCACACAAGTGGAACTGATGAGCGAAGCCGTAAGAGTAATTCTTTTCCTGGCAGGTGTCACGGGCATGCATTTGACCTGTTTTCATGGTTCACCTTGACAGCACGCTGCAGCTCCACTGCATGCTTCCTGCTGCAACAGAGATCTCGGCATGCAGTGCAGGGTCTGTTGTGTTGACTGTCACGAGTGAGCTGGTGTTTTCTCCTCTCTAGAAGCCTGGATGCTTTTTGCCACTCTGATGGCAAATGATGAGACCAGCGACCATGGATTTTAGCACCCCTTCTGTGTTTGATCAGCAAAAAGGTAAAATGTTGCTTTGACATAGCTTTTGGGTCTTAGCATTTTGAATTCAAAAGTCAAGGATCTGTAGTTGGAAAGAGAGAAGGGGTGTGTGTGTGTGTGTGTGTGTGTGTGTGTGTGTGTGTGTGTGTGTTTTCTCTGTAGAATGTGAAAGGAGGATTGCACATAGAAAACAAACCTGAATGTTTACTTCTAATCTGAGAAACATTAGGAACAGAAAAATGGGCTGATTATCTGTGTGTCTTGTTAAAGTATTCCTACCTACATTTGGGGGTGGGCACCAGATTTCAGACAGTATTGTCCGTATTCCCAATATTTTCAGATCTTTAAAAATTGTATGAGGCTAAATAATAACAGAAGGCATCGCGGGTCTCTGTCCAGTGTCTTAGCCCCGCATGTTGCTGCTGTAGTTTCATAAGTCTCTCTCGGTTCCCTTCACTGATAGACGCTGCCTGTGTTCATATGGGGGTGAGCTATGATCTCATTCGAGTTTGGGTAATGACTTGCCACTACATTATTTTTTTGCAATGACAAGAGGCATCTTCCTTACTCATGATTTCCAGAGTGGAGGTAATTTTTCACATGAAAATGTTGCTGTGAAGTTAACTCCTTATAAGACATTTGTATTTAGCTATCCAGTCTATAAGTGTGCATTTGCATATGCTATGCTTCTGGGTACGTATATGTTAATACTGCTGTGTGTTTAATCATGTTTTCTATGGAGGTACAGAACATTTTCATTCTTTAAAGGTTGTAAATAATTTTAAAATTGTTTTGATTTGTCAGCCATTCTCTATTGCCTCAGAATATTTCTTTAGCTCATAGGTTCCTCTGATGATTTTTACTTGTTTTGACTGCAGCATGAAATGGTGGTTGGTTCATAAATGCCTCATTAAGAAAATCCAATGCTTCTTTCATTTTCCCTCTTCTACTCTAGGCCACAGTATATTTACTATCTTCTGTTTGCAAGGGTAAATGATTTGAGCTCTGTGAATTTCTCAAATGATAAATTTAGATTTTGATGTCTCGGTTAACTACACGTGTGTGTGTGCATGTATATACACATACATACATACAGTGTGCTCTCTGGGTCTTAGCTCGTTTTAAAAAATGTATGCATCCACCTTCAGAACACGCTGGTTGAGTCGTGATCAGTCTCCCAACACCATCCTTTCCCTTTCTGCGTGTTGTGGCACCGATGGCAGTCAGCAAATAGAAATCTGCTTAGAGCCAAGGAACTCAGGCTAGTTGAAAAACGGCCTTGTGATCCATGCACTCCATAGAGAAACACAATGGGCTTATTGCTATCATTTAAAGGAGCTGGGACTGACAATGAAAGAACTAACCCTTCATAATGAATGTAGCTGTTCCAGCATTGTGCCTGCTAACTGGAATGAGCCCCAAACATGCCTAAAATATTGATGAAGTAACACCTGAAATAGTTCATTTTTCTCACTAATCCTTCCTCTTTCCTAAGAGCATGAGAGACTACAATAAGTCTAGACCATTACATAGATTTTGATATTTTTTGTTAAGAAAACCAAGGTGGAGTGTTTTTCTCTAGAAGAGTCAAATGCCAGGCTTTTGCTGAGGGATTTTCACAGATATTTAATCGCTGGAGAATTAAAGCTCTGGTGACATCAGGTTCACAGGCAGCTGTTGGCATAAGAGCCTTCGAAGTCATGTGACACAGTGGGTCTCAAAGATGGCTGTACCACAGAATCATTTAGCAGGATTTAGAAAATACTGAAGCCCAGATCTCATCCATGAAAATCCCAGTCTACCTGGTGAAGCCTGTGGCCTGTCAACACCTCCCTGGGAATGTCCAAGATGGAGAAGCAGCCTTCCCCCATGCATCCCTTCAACATTTCAGATGGGAGAACAGAGGCACAGAGATGGAATCACAATAGCCACTCCTTGGTCCTTGGAAAGAGAGGGGTCAAGATCAAGGTATCTCTATTCCGAGAAGAAATGTTTATTTATTTGAAATGTAAAACAAAGGAGAGAGAGACAGACAGAGATCTCTTCCATCTGCTAGTTCACTGTCGCAGTGGCCACAGCAGCAGGTCTGTGCCACGCTGAAGTCAAGAGCCAGGAGCACTGTGTAGGTCTCCCACCTGGGTGGCAGGTGCCCAAGCTCTTGGATTATCCTCCATCATCTTCCCAGGTTCATTAACAGGATGCTGAATCAGAAGTAGAACAGCTGGGATTTCAACTGGCATACTGAAATGGAATTCTGGAGTTAAATGGAGTCAGATAGGATGTGGCCGCTGCACCCACTGCCCCACAACACCAGCCTGTCTGCGTTTCTCTATAATTTGAGTTGACCAGACACCTCCAAGTCACGATCTTAGAGGCAGATAGACATTTGTTCATGTCCTGTCTCATCCCTCTTCGCCATTCCATGAAGCTGGACAAGCTACGGGTATCCCCTGGCTTGCATGTCCTTGTGTATAAACTGTGGATCACAGTACACATTTTCAGGTTACCCTGGAGGCTTCAGAAGCAGCGTCTCCAGCCGAGCAAGGGCATCAGGGCTTTGGCCCTGGCTTGCGACGTCGTAGAATCAGCAGGGAGGAAGCAGGGGTCTTTGAGCACCCAACTATTGGCTTTACTTTTTGTTCTCACCATGGCAACATCACTGGCCCTCCAGGCGAGTTCTTCCTGGCTGTCTTCCCTCTCCAAGCCCACATGCAGAGAAGAGCCTGTAGTAAAATAATTTACTATGAATCGCAGAGGTTCCTGTGGAAGTCTAGTTACGTAAGGAAGATGCTTGTGTGAAGCTCTCACTTTTTGTGAGCAGAAAGGCTTTGCCCAAAACACACCTGGGCCTCAGAAAGAAAAATGTGAGCAATGAGGATGACCCCCCACCCCCAGGGCCTGGCCCACCCCTCGGAGTGGCTGAGAGTGAAAGGAGACCCTTACTCTTATTCAAGGCTGAGCTGAGTGGGAGGTGCTGCCAGGTGCACCTGAGCGGGCTTCTCTCTTGGCGGTTGCTCTGAGGATAAGCGGAAGGGCTGGTCTTCCAGCCCAGACCAGTGCACTGTGTTGATACCCCAGGGCTACTATGACAGTGACAAGTTAAGTGACTTACAACAGCAGTGATGTATTATTCTTTTGAAGCTCTGGAGATTAGGGGTCTGAAATGAAGAAATCAGAAGGCTGTGTACTCCTGCAAGAACACTTTAGAAAAAAAAATCTCCCCTTGCCTCTTCCAACTTGAGGTTGACTAGTGGCAGGGGTGGGAGAAAAAAGAGCCTCGGTCTCTCTTAGTTTCAGCCACTGCCTTCCCGCCACCTGCTCCTGTGTGTGTCTCACTCCCTCTCCTTCAGTCTTTTTAAGTGTGATTACCTTTAGCAGCCAGATCATCCAGGATAAACCACCTAGAAAGGTCGTTGGCTTGGTCACATCTTTTAACCTAGAATAGAACAATTACTCATTTGCCTAAAAGATGATAGTCCAAGGGATAGGGGTGGAGGAGGGGAACGTGTCTTTAAGGCCACCATGCATCACAATGCACAAACTTCAAAAAATCATGCACTGGCTTTTTGTACAGATCCATTCCCATTTAAGCTATAAGGAAAGCTCACATGTAAGAAAGAGGTGGGGGGAGCAGGTGTTCAGTGCAGACTGTATAAGTCCATTATATGCATTACAAGATAGGAACTGTTCATGTTAATTGGGCCTTAGCAGAGCCAAACTCTGTGCTAAGTACAGTTCATTGACCAGTTCTTACAATTTTCCCATCAGCCCCACTATTTTCTTTTAAGATTTTTTTTTTTTTTTGGAAAGGCGGATATACAGAGAGGAGGAGAGACAGAGAGGAAAATCTTCCATCCAGTGGTTCACTCCCCAAGTGGCTGCAATGGCTGGAGCTGAGCCAATCCGAAGCCAGGAGCCAGGAGCTTCTTCTGGGTCTCCAATGCAGATGCAGAGTCCCAAAGCTTTGGGCTGTCCTTGATTGCTTTCTCAGCCTGCAGGAAAGGAGCTAGATGTGAGGCAGGGCTACTGGGGTTAGAACCACAGCTCATATGGGATCCCAGCGTATTCAAGGCGAGAAATTTAACTGCTAAAGTTATCGCACCGGGCCCATCAGCCCCACTATTATTATCCTCTTTTGACAGTAAAGAAATCCAAAAAGATTGTGACTTACCCAACACTACCACAAAGTAAAATGGCAACACTGGGATCCCAGTCTAAGCCCATTTGACTTCAAATCCATAGTCTTTCTACTGAAGTGTGTCTCTTCCTTGGTCAACTCTGTAGTTTAGTTAGAAAATAAGAGATCAGCAGAAAGTCAACTTGGCATTATTTTCCCAATCAAGCTGTCATTCCATGGTGTTGTGGCGTTTTAAAGCCCCTACACACAGATGTGTTGGTTTTAAATCCCTATAAGGAAAAAGCCTGACAAAAGAATCAGGCTTCGCTGAGACAGCAAAAGTTACCAAATCGCTCTCAAGGAAGAAGAAGCAAATTGTGAAAGGGGCTGGACAAAGCCCTGGGGAAAGGGCGCCCAGGAGACATGAGAGAGAGAAGCGTTTGGGACTTTGTTGATGACTTTAGGTTCAGGTGCCTTGAAGAGGAGCCTGGAGTAAAACCCAGGAGTATGGAGGAAATTTGTAGAATTTCTCAGACTAACGGTGCAAGATGAAGGGAAACCTTCTGGCCAGTTCCAGGTCTGCTGGTTCATGGCAGGTAGTCTGTGGCCTCTGAGATCCAGACAGAGGGGAGAAGGACTTTTTTCCCCTAATATTCTTATCTGCTCAAGACCAACCACGGGCAAAGATATTTACAGGAAGCCTGGCCCTTCTCTGCCTGCTTCTCAATACTTCCCTCTTAGGAACTGTCCTACAAACTTCCAGAGTCTGCTATGGTCCCCATCTGTTACCACCTCAACAGGCCCTGTCTCCAATAATCTGAGCATGTCTTGCCTTCTACCCATGTGCTTCCTCTTACAGAAATATACAGAAAGAAGCCTTTAAAGGGGTAAATGTTGTGGCACA